GACAGCATGGGAAAAGCTCTGAGTGAAGCTGTCCTTCTCCATGCAACACACTGTGACCTGCTACACAGCTACAGAAGCCCCTGACACGCATCAGAAGAGACTGCCAATATCCTCATCCCTTCTCCCTGTGCATTGTCATCTGTCCCCAAGTGAACCTGCACCTTGCCCTCCATGTGGACGGCTGTAAATCATAAAGGCAGCTGGAGAGCTGAACGTGGGAGACATTGCAAGCCTCTGCAGGAGTCACAGGGTCACTCTGTGTTTGTACCAGGGACCCGACTCCCTGACTGTTGCTCCCAGGATCTCCTCCTCTCTTCCCTCCTCCGCCCCTCCTTGCTTTCTCCTCTGCCTCCCAACAGGACACTCAGCATCCTTGACTCCTCCATTATCCTTGAGCAGCCAATTCTTGCTGAAGGCAGCCTTCAAATTGTGTTCCACTAAGTCCTTCCAGAAGGGGCTCTTCAATCACTACAGGAGAAATTTGTGCTAAAAATACAGGTTGGTTCCTATCAACACTGTAACAGAAAGTGGACCAGCACATTTGAACATGTTCTCCAATGTCTTGTAGCACAGGGCATGCACGTTTCCAGCTTAGGTTGTCTAGGACAGGCTCTGAAACGGGGTTAGGGAAGATCTTGACCTACAGGGCTGAGATGCATCTTCAGGTGGAGTCACTGGGTTTGAGCTCTTTCCTGGGTGTTGTGTTGCTGTTTAGATTAAGGACTACGCATGAGTCTGGAAAACTACACAGGCAAGGGCACTCTAAGCTGTCAGTGATGAGGGGGCAGAGTAAAAAAAGTTAAGCTCTCAAGTATGGGGAGTGTGGGGCTTCCTGTCTGACTGGCATTTGTCACAAGAAGGAATTCAAGCAGCTGTTGGATATTGTTGATGATGCAAACTACAACTCCCTTGTAGTCCTCACGGAATGCCCTGTAGCATAGCTAAAGATGGGTACCCGGGGGAAAGTGTTATTCTTTTCCTATTGAGATGATCTAGTATTCATTATTTTCTTTATAATCCGACCCCCCCCCCCCCGTGTGTGTGTGTGTGTGTGTGTGTGTGTGTGTGTGTGTGTGTGTGTACATGTGTATCTACACATACAGAGGGCCAAGCTTGATGCTAGTAATCATCTTTGGTCACTCTTCTATCTTGTTCAATGTGGCAGGGTCTCTCAACTCAAACCAGAGACCCTCAAAGTGGCTAATCTTGCTAGCCACCTTGCCCAGGGGATCCCATTCCCACCTTCCAAGGCTGGAATTATATAGGTATGCCACCACATTCACTAACATTTCCATGAGTTCTGGAGATTCAAACCCCACCCTTCATGCATGCATAACATGTGTTTTAACCACTGAAATCTCTCCAACCCCCCCAATTTGAATAATTTTTCATGGTGTGTGTGTGTGCGTGTGTGTACATGAACATGAATGTGTGAGGTATGCAGAAGCCCTGAGTGTCAGCTGTCTTCCTTGATTACTTCCTACTTTATTTATTGAGGCAGGGCCTCCCAATGACCTGAAGCTTGCTGAGTCTGTTTAGTCTAGCTAATATCTTGCCAAGGGGATTCCCTGTCTCTGCCGCCTCCCCATTGCCACCAATGCTGGCATTAGGTGGCCACATATCTGCACAGTATTTTACATGTGTGCTGGGACTCTGAACTCTGGTCCTTGTTCCTTTGGGATACGTGTTTTATCCATTGACTCATCTTCCAAGCTCTGGATTCCTTAATTCTTAATCCTTACCAAGTCAACCAAGGGAATGAGGAAGCTTTAGCTGGCAAGCAAAACCATGTACACCAAGGAGAGGTCAGCACACCTCTGTAAAAGATTAGGTAGTCTATTGCTCAGGCTTTGAGGGTAGGTGGACTGAAGCAGCCAAAGGGAGCATGTTAAGTAATGGCACGTGTGTTTCAATAAAGTTTTATTTATACAATCAGGTGTCAGGCACAAGCCTTAACTTGTGGATACCTAATCTAAAATTTCAGATTCAACGTTTTTATGCATCGAAGCATAGTTATTACTCTATGTGTGACCTCCCATAATAAATCCACGTGAAAGATTCAAACTTAAAAAGATTAAAGAGTAAATCCACTTTAATCTGATTTACACATCACCATTCCACACAAGATTCGGCTTTTTAAACAGCTTCTAAGACAATGAAAATTTGAAAACTACTAGCATCAGTGCTAGCTGGGAAAATATTTCCTGCTTCATTTTCATGTTAGTTTTGGCCTCCAGCCACTCATTCAGAAATCACCTTATTCTGGAGACAGTCCCAGGTTAGGTCTCTCTGAGGAGAAGCACAGGCTCCCTGTTATCTTGCCCTCAAATGACTCCAATGCCTGCTGGGAACACAGGCATCTCCAAGCCTCAAGTGGTGCTAGTGGCCACTTGATCCTCGGCACGCACGGTGGATCTGCACATGCAGTGCCTGCCATCCTGGACCCTCACCCTTCCTCTGCATGGTTGCCACAGAGTCCAGCCCCCTTCTTGGTGGCCCAGCTGTGCCCAGCCTGGATCCCCCAGCAACTCTGAGTCAGCACCCCGTTTATCGCCATGCATTCTTCCCCAGGGAGAGTTTGGGAAGGGGTGGGGCCAGATTTCTGGCTGGAGCTGAGGACTCATTTCCTGCTGGGCAGGACTCCCTCTACAGATTGCCCTGCAGCTGTCAGAGCCCATGTGGACGACAGGGAATTTGGGCATGAAGTAGGGGAGAGCAAGTGCCAGGGGTGGGAGAGTCCTGGGTGACTCCTCCAAACTCTGCCTGTGTTCCTCAGAGAGTTCTCGATCTAGGCTGCTCAAGAACTCAGTGTACACCTTGTGGACCAGACCCCTGAGACTTCTAGAGGAGAAGGACCCCTGCCCCCAACAAACAGTTAAGTGTCATATGCACAGATGGAAACAGATACTAAATCAGCTGGTGCTGCTGGCGGCCAAGGAATGGGGCCCGTTGGTGGTGGCACCACTGGTTCAGGCTGAGATGTGGGTACTCTAGAGGAGGAGTCATTGAAGCTAGGGTTGCTCTTCAGGAAGCAATTCAACGGAAAGAGAAAGGGCTAACTCTTTTGTAGCCAGAGATTCCGTGCCTGTGAGCTGTGTGGCTATCTTTAAACTAGAGAGCCTTTCTGTGCTCATTGTCCATGTCTACTTAAAAGGGGCCACAAGGTCAGCCTCACTAGGTTTATTGTTGTTGTTGTTTTGTTTTGTTTTTGCAAGACTTAGACTTGTCTATGAAATACCAGGCCTAGCGTATAGGGAGGACCAGACCCTTCACCTCAGGATTCTATGCCAGTACCAGGTGGTACAGCATAGCAGAGCTGTCACTGATGATGGTGGCTGAGCTGCCTGCACAGTGGTGGAAGGGTGATAGGAAAGCCCTCTGACGGGCAGTCCCTGTGCTAATGAGACCTCTTCTCTATATTCATAGCACCCCTGTGAGGCAGGTACCACATTGTCTTGTGTTGCAAGAGAGAGAAAGAACCGAAGCCAAGGCAGAGGGAGATACAACATGTTTCTAAAACCAGTAAAAGCCAATAAAACCAGTAACTGTTAGATCTGGGACTTGAACTCAGGGACCCTCTGGTTCAATACCACTGCAAACATCCTTCTTCAAAATGAGGGCCAGATAGTTCTTCTTGGGGTCCAGGAAATACTTCTACCCTGACAGGAGAATTCTGGTCAGGACAGGCCTGCTGAGCCAGGGGCACGTTGCTGAGCTAAAGCCAAGGCCCAGACACCCACATCCATGAAGCTATAGAAATGCCGGCCCTGAGGTGACCTATAGCCCTGACCCTGGCACTGCACAATGAAAACATGCCTGCTCTAGCCAGAGAGGACAAGCAACCAAGTGGGAAACCACAGCTTTTCACACCTTGGACATCATAGCTGAGCCCATAGATGCAAACATAAGATGGGTGGAGAATTCCCAGAGCCCTCAGAAGGCAGCTTTCAGGACCCACCCAGAATCCAAACATAGTGGGCAATATGGCATATACTAGCAACCTCAGTACTGAGGATACCTGAGGCAGAAGGATTTTGGGTTCAAGGCTAGCGTCAGCTAACAGAGTACGTTGCAGTATCAAAAGAAAGGACTCCAAATACAGATCCCAGTGTTCCTAGTACCTGAGCCCAATGGCACAGGTATTCTGGGGAGCCCATGCTTCCTTCCTTCCTTTTTTTTTTTTGTTGTACGAGACAGGGTTTCTCTGTATTGTTTTGGGGGCTGTCAGTCCAGCCCGGCCTCGAACTCACAGAGATCCGCCTGCCTCTGCCTCCCGAGTGCCGGGATTAAAGGCGTGCGCCACCACCGCCCAGCCCTTCCTTCCTTTTTGAAACTAGTTTTTTTCTCCTTCAACCCTGTCAGCTCCCAGGATGATACTGACACATTCTGTAGCAGACAAAACATACTAGGATTTGTCCCTTACCCAAAGAGCTTCCAAAGCCACACCCCCCACCACATCACAGTCTGCAAAGCCACTTTAATCCACCTAGATATAGGTATAAATACATACAGGAGCCCAGGGACCTCCCTGCCCATCTACTCAGCACTTGGAATTTCTGGAACTCTCCAGGTAATCATGAGAGGCCAGACCTGACATCTTTCCATAGGTCCTGGCGGGGTGTTTGAAGCCTTCATGCTCTATGACTGGGCAGGTGGTGGGGTGAGGTAGAGCGGCAAGGGTTGAAGGAAGGAGAAGGCTGAGAAATAGGAGACATCAGAGGCCGGGGTCCGTGGGAGACAGTCCTGTGTCCTTTATCAGAGGTGAGGTGGAGACTGAGCGGCTAGTGGTGGCATTTGAGGGAGATGCCATGGGGAGCAGGGACAGAAGCCTAGTGTCCTAACCAAGGCATCCAGGGAATCCAGACCAGCTCTTACAGAGGTAAAGAAAGGCAGGGATAGGCAGCAGTGGCCACTCTCACAACCAAATCTTTGAAGAGGACACAGAGAGCTCCCGCTAGCTAAAATGGCGGTCAGCGAGCACGGCCAGATCAGCATCTTACCTGCGCTGCAGGCACCACTTTCGATGACCAAAACTGAACCGCCGCTCTCTCTGGAAGCCAGCGTTCATGTCCACTCCTGCTGCAGTGCCTCTGCTCACACACTCCTCCTCCCCGAGGAAAGGACGGTGTGCCTGGCCAGTGGCTCGTGGGAGTCTTCCATGAGCTACTTCGAGGTGGCTTGGCTTGTGCCTGTGATCCTGCATGGGGTGGGGAAGGTGGAAGCCATGGTCAGAGAGTTTTCTAAATCAACTTTAGGTACAGAACAACTCCTGCCTTATCCCAAGTCCTGAACTCCCTCCAAGCTGACAGGTGACTGGGGTCTGTGACAGGGCACCCTTGATCTTCAATAGGCTTGAGGGAACTCTAAAGCTAGAGTTTTCTGTTTGGTTCTAGATGAGGAAGTTAGAGAGACTGGAATTAGGCAGACTCTATGAATTCCTGCTGGTCTGAAGGTAGAAGGACCATGTGGGAAGGATCCTAGAATGACCATGAAGTTGAAAACTAGCAATAAAACAGAACCTCGGTCCTCCAACCACAGGGAATCAGGTTGCATCAACACAGGAATGATACTGGAAAAGTGTAACACTCCTCAGAGCAGAGTTGAGTCCTCAGTTTACCCATACCCAAAGCCAGATGAGCTATTGCAGATGGGAGTAAGTGCATTCAGGGTGGCCAGGCTATAGTCTAGTGATCGACAGAAGCAAGCTGGCACACGGTGTGGTATGCAATCACTAAACTTGAGGGGTGTGCTAACCAGCAAGAAAAAACTAACATGACTTGTAACAGTGCCTGCAGGATCTTCAGACAGGGTAAGGATTGGAGAGACAGGAGATGTGGGAATGCATTGTGATTCCCAAGTCACTAAGCAAAACCCAGTGTTCAAGCCAAGGGAAGCCTAGGGCAAGACAGGAGCTCCGTAGTGGTTACTGAGCAAATGGATGGATGAGCAAGCTCTGCTGGCTGTTGCGACACTCAAACAAGGAACTACAGAGGAAAGTTCCCCCTGACCCAGAAAACCGGAGTTGTTTAGCTGTGTGCAGCAGAGCATGTCCTGTCTACCATGCTCATCGGGCTGTCTAGTTTGTCTGCTTCTGGTGACTGTGTGGTAGCTGAGAATGTGGTCTCAGGCAATTATACCCCAGGTTCAAGTCCACGGTATTCTTCTAATGACCTTTGTGGCACGGGAGGTCACTGTGTGAAAAGGAGGCTGAGGGTGGCGAGGGCTTCCTGGGCTTTCATGAGTCACTGTGCATGAAGTGCTGAGAACAATGCCTGGCACGTGGCACAGCCCACACAATTGCCACGGACTTTGTCCCAGAGTGGAGCATAGTAACATGGAGCAACCTGCACATAGGCCTGCGGCATTGTCCCCTTGCTCGCTCCACCATGCTTTGTAAGAACTCAGTCCTTGGCAACCACTCCAGAGGGCTGATTGCTACAGAACAGAGGTCACCTGAGGTCCTCCATGTCCCCTCCCACCACACCTGCTGCTGTTCAACTCTGCAGAGTGGCATTTCACCATCACAGGGTAGAGAGGACTGGCTCTGGGGCTCCTGAGTCTGCCAGTGGAATCATCTAGACTTTTCACTGTTCCACCATTTCCCATCAACCCCAAGTCTGACCTCCCAATCCACTGCAAGTATTACAAAAAACGGGGGTATCTGATTCCTCCCACTAAGATCCCCAAACACACAGAGACCAGGCCTGCCCCCAACCTTGCGTCTCTCCCCCACAGCATGTCTGCCTGTCCTGATTGATCAGCCCACTCAGCCAGCTCCCACCACACTGGACGTGAGTTCCACTACAAGACCCTACGCACAAACACGCTACATTTCTCTTGAGATAAGCCAGTGTCCACCGTGCAGATACCGAGAGCTGAGAGTGCTTCCAGATGGCGTGTGTTCATTTAGGCTTCCTCTGAAACACACACAGTCCCTAGCAGGCATCTCACAGGCCAGTGTGTCAAAACTCTTTTCAGAGCCCAACATAGTCATTCATTCACATAGTAGATGTGCATCGAGTGCCCATGTTGGGTGCAAGTGGCTAGCAGTTGCCAAAGACAAACCGCACAAGATTTGGTCCTTGTTTTCAAAGGAACCACAGTGGAGTTGACCCCGATGGTGTCTGGACGCAGGAAAGAATGTTTCAAACCGACACCCCCAACCCTCTCCCTGCATGGGGGGCAGTCAAGAGGCTACACCCTGGGAAGTGATGACTAAGGTAGGAGTCAGCAGGGTTGAGGAAAAGAGGTTTGCTAGAGGAAGGGTAGGATTTGAGTGGAATGAGGTTATGGAATGGTTTTAGTTAATGAGTTAATGTGCTTGGGATGAGGGGCGTGGCTTTTGGAGGAGATAGGACAGACAGAAGCATGGAGGCTATTACCACCCTATCACAGGCCACTCCAAGTATTCCACAGTAGCTGTCTAGTATACTAGCTGTATACTAGTCACCTGAAAATGTCATCGCCAATCCCCAAGTTTCTAGATGACAAAGAGGGCCTAATTGGTCTGCCCCTTGTCCCCCAAATGCCACTAAAACAAAAAAGAGACTGTACAAATTGGAGTGATATCAGTTGCCAGCAAGCCTGAGGACTCAGAGGAGTGGGGAGCTCAGAAAGCCCTTTCGCACCTGTGACTGCTCCAGGCAGGCACAGGAAAGAGCCACCCCAAATCCAGGAAACCGGCTTAGCCTGGGAATGGGAATCTTGGGATAAAAGGGTCCTCTGAGTCCCCAGGAGACCAATGTGGCCAGGAGGGAAGCACCAGAAGCCGAGGCAGCCTCTGCCCTGTATACCTTCAGCCAGTAGCTCTGGATGGGGCCGATGGCATGACAGACATTAAGAAACTCTCAGAAGGAAGCACCGTCTCCTCAGGTTCCTGTGGTTCCCTTGTCCTGCCTCAACACTCCATGTCTGCTATTTCCACCAGTCAGAGACTGCTGTGTGACAGTCCATGCACAATCCTGAGCCAACCCCCGTGGAAATGGAACTTTTACTCCTTAGCAGAGCCAACCCTCCCTACTCCAGACACACCCGGGCTTCATGGAGCCACTGTGCTCCCTTCCCAGGTTAGGGAGCACTTCAGCCTTGATTAACGCTATCTTGCTGAGATTTGAAAGGCCAGCATTTCTAAGTCTCTATAAGAAATGTTGAAAACTGCATTGATACGTGCCCTGGTTTGCTTTTTTTTTTTTTGCTGTAATAAAACACTCTGACCAAGGCAACTTGAGGAAGAAAGTGTTTATTTTATCCTAGACTACCAAATTGTGGTTTATCATTGAGGGCAGCCAGGGCAGGATCTCAAGGCAGGAAGCTGAAGGCAGAAATATGGAGCAGAAAACCTCGTACTAGCTTGCTCTTGCTCTCTGTCTTGTGCTTAGCATTTCTCATACAGCCCAGACCTCCCTGCCTAGAGATGGTGTCACCACAGCGGGCTGGGGCCTCCTGTGTCAATCAAGACAATCTCTCACAGACATAGGCTCATCTGACCCGGGAAATTCCTCAATCGAGGTTCCCTCTTCCAATATGACTCTAGATCATGTACAGTTGACAGTTAAAACTAGAGTGCACACACTGGATTTGATATCTCCTGCTAGTGGGTAACAGGGAAGAAACTCAAGGCTGGAGGGGAAAAAGAGGTAATAAAAACCCTGAGATCCATTGCTCAGTCAAGGCTCAAATAGAAAGAGAGAAATACTAAAATAAGAGGCCACCCACCTATCTGTTCTTAAAAAGTCACTCAAGGAATTACTCCACAGAAACAAAGAGAAAGAGGGGGGGGGAGGGAGGAGGGAGGGAAGGAGGGCAGAGCAGAATAAGTCATTCAAGAAAGGACAAGGCAGTAAGAACAGGAAACAGGAACAATACAAGCAGAGGTTGTGCAATATCACCTGGACAAATGTCTGCCAGGATGGGGACACATTGCTGGAAATTAGAAACTTACTTCTCGATATGAACACACAAATGCTTCATTTCAGGGCAACTATTTCTAAGGAAAAATGAAAGCCTTCTTAACCACCGGGTGTGGGAGAGAAAGCAGGAACAAAGATTATTCAAGCGATGTAGCAAGAATCAGGATAGCCAAAGTTAATCACGAAGGAAAAAGGATAACACTCGAGAGACATGAAGTACGACGGTGAATGAGAGCCAAGCATATTAATGAATTCAATAACGCAAATAAATTCAGTTATCTTACTCTAAGTTGAGGGATCAGGATGGTAAAAGAAAATATAGACCCAGCCATATACCTGGAACTAATACCCTTAAACTGATGAAGGAAATCTAAGAAGTGGGGTCAATGGCTAGACAGGCAAGATGTTTAGTAAAATAGCCCTGGTAGTTACACTGGGTCAGGGAAAAGTGCGGCATTCTGTGTTGCCTGGGGCCTCTTTCCACCAGAAGGCATAGACTACAAGCTTGACCTTCACCCTGAATAGGATGAAGAAGGTAGTGTAATCTTAGAAGCACAGGGCAAGCAGGAGTATCACGGTGCCTGTACACTTCTGATCCCAGCCCCAGGGAAGCTGAGGCAGGGGGATTATGAGTTCAAGTCCAGCCTGAATTATATAGTGAGACCCTGTCTTGAAGACAAAATAAAGAACTATGAAGAGGGAGGGTGAGCCTCCTGGGTGTCACCAGTCAGTGTGGGCAGGACACAGAACCTGCAAAGAAGCTCATGTAGAGAGGGAGTCTGCAAGCTTCACTTTATACAGACCCCAGACACATATAAAAAGGTCTCTTGCTCGTACATCCTCACACTAGATGGCAAAAAATGACCTGATTCCAAAGCATGCGAGTAGTGCAGTCCCCGAGAGCGCTCTCAGGGCAACAGCCAGAAATCTGTGCAGCAAAACCCAAAACACCCTATCAGTGGGGCACGTGGAAGTGCCAAGACACTTTTTAAATGACTTGAATAAAGTGGACATCAAGACAGAAACTGTAGTTACACTGGCCTAAGGCACCCGATTAGTCTAATAAAAAGCTGACTGGCTAATAGTGAGGGAAGAGGTATAGGTAGAACTGCAGGACAGGGATAATAAGTAGGGGAAGGAATTTAGGCTTGGGGGAGAAAGAAAAAGAGATGCCGGGGAGATGCCAGAGACATGGAGGAAGATGGAAAGTAGGACACACAGAATGAGAAAAAGGTACAAAGCCCTGAGGCAAAATGTAGATAAAGAGAAACAGGCTACATTAAGTTAA